CCTGCCCCTGCCTCCCAAGTGCTGGTATAAAAGGCCTGTACCACCAGGCCCAGCCTCTATTCTCACTTTTAAATAGAGACCATTCACTATCTTGGTGTCAATTTCTTTCATGGAATACTAAAAAAATAATGTGTAATTCTCAATTTCTTTATATCTCCTGCATAAATAGGTTGAATTTTAAGACTTCCACGTGTTTATTAATGACATCTTTGTTCCCTTGTTTTTAGACCTAGCTGTTAAAAACTGTGATAAGGTATTCTCTATTAACTGCATCTAAAAATTTTTATTTATTATTTATATTTTATGTGTATGAGTGTATTGCCTGCATGTATGTAGGGCACCCATGTCGTGCAATGCCGTGGAGGTCAGAAGAGGGCTTCAGATTACCCTGGAACTGGAGTTAAGGACGTTTTGTAGCCGCCATGTGGGTGCTGGGAATCGAACCTAGGTCCTCTGCAAGAGCAGTCAGTGCTTTTAACTGCTGAGCCATCTCTAAAGCCCTATTTCCTGTATTTTATAGACAAGAAAACTGGTTTTTAGTTTTCCACTGAAATAGTGCTATATGGAGAGGTATGATTGTGGCAAGCTCCAAGGATCACTTTGTTAATCTCTATTCAATCTTATATATCTAGTTCAATTGTAGTTGCTGGTAAATTTAACAAAGAACTATTTTATTACCATGACAGAGCCATAATTAGAGAGGCTTTATAAAGTCACCCCATTAATCTCACATGTAACAGGAACAAATTATTGTAAATTTTGTGACTGATGTGTGCCACTACATAAGCTGTCCTTCCCATTTAAAGCAACCTGCTTTAAGTGGAATCCTTTTTTGATCAGCAGTGTGCTTGGATTAGGGTCAGAATGTAAACTGCTTAGGACTGGCATCTCATCATGAGCAGACAGAGAATAAGGACAGCACATAGGCATTATGCATCCTGGGCTCAGAAACTGAAAGGGCCTACCTCGCTTGAATGACAATACACCTAGTGATATGCAAACACATGTAGTGCCTGGCAAACAGGAAAACCTCACCAAATGGCTGCTACTCTTAATTACTAGAATTATTTCAAAACAGTCATTTCAGGATAGGAGATATCACACTGTGGTTTTCAGCATCAGGTAACACGGAGTCAGGTATTTAAAGATGAACAGTGTAAGTCTGACTATAGCAGCTGGGTGTAGTAGCACACACCTTTAATCCCAGCACTTGGGAGGCAGAGGCAGGCAGGTCTTTGTGAGTTTGGGGCCAGCCTGGTCTACATAGTGAGTTCCAGGACAGCTGATGCTACAGGGAGACCCTGTTTTAAAAAAAAAAAAAAAAAAAAAAAGTCTGACTATAACGATGCAGTGCTGAGCAAACATCCAAAGAGGACCTGACCACCAAAGGGGTGGAAGATAGGAAGGCAATCACACACATTCATTGAAAGAAAAATAAATGGTCTCTCTCTTTTTTTTATTTTAAAGTTAAAGATGGAACATGGAATAAAGAGAAAAAACTGCTATCATCAGAATGGAAAACACATGAACTACATTAAAAACTTACTAGGGGTTGGAGAGGGTTCAGCAGGTATAGTGCTTGACACACAAGCATAAGGACCTGAATTTGGATCCCCAGCACCCACATAAATGCTAGGCAGGGGTGTGACCCTCCTGAGATACAAGCATGAGGGAGGCAGGGATGGGGAATCCCCAGGGCAAACTGTTAGCCAGATTAGTGGAATTGGTGAGCTCTGGGTTCAAGTGAGAGACCTGCATAAATCTGTAAGGTGGAGAGTGAGAGGAAGATACCTGACCACCAGCCTTGGCTGAACAGGCACTCTGATACACACATGTTCATTGCTCTCCACACAAAAAGACTTACTAAACTTTTCTTTTCCTAGACATGTAATACCTGACAGAAAATGCTTCACATGGAATATCATGACAAAAATCATAGGTATTTGTACAAACTTACCTTATTATTGCAAACATGGAATTGAAATTTTTGCATTCTCGGCAATGAAGGGCAATTTTAATAAAATGCTTAATAATCTTCATTCTCTTGAGTTGATTTGATTCACTTAAAATCTCTGAGGCAACCCAGAATGTCTCTTGGTTTACAATGTCCTCAAACTGCTTCAAGTGAGTACTTCCTGTTTTGGAATCTAATTTAAAAAGGTCAACAATGTATTCAGTAGGCTCAATATTACGAAATAAATCGAAGTCCCTCAGTGACAGCTGGGTGGCCACTTCAATGGTGCTGAGCTGCAGTATGGACAGCTGGCTTTCCTTGAGCAGCTCCTGAGCATCCTCATCTGAACACAGTGTTTCTGTCTCCATGTTATTTTTCAGATAATACCTGGAAAGAAATTTTAAATGTGATCATAAATGTGATTTCATTTACAAGAGTGCTTCTATGCTTTATTTTTCATTTCCCAAAATACCACTTTGCTGTTAACTTTCCGCCAAAAAATTAAGTATTCACTTATAAATGAAATAAAGCTTAAAATTTAAAAATAAGACATCTTGACAAGCTGTCTCCTTTCCTGCCATTTGACACTATAAAAAATAAAAATAATGCTGATAATGCCCTGAACTTAACCATTTCATAAAACTACTCATCATGTGTGAACCATCATGCATGCATAGCCTTGAGAATAAAAGCTCTATTAGGGCCAGGCCAGGATCCTCCCAAAGCTGTTCTTGTCAGGCTTTGAGATAAGAATGAGAAACTAACACAAAACCTTGGAACTGGACAAGGAGGATCACTCATGTGACTACACCTTACTGCATGGTTTGGAATTGGTTTGTGGGAGGAAAAGGGAAGACCTTGGAAATGTAGGGCACAGAAATGCTACAATGCTGTCAAGTGCTGCTCAATGGCGGGCTCTGGTCGGAGCTTTGAGGACCAGAATGGCGACAGTAAAGACTGTGTTTGAGAAGCTTGAGATGGGCACAAGGATTCTATGGATAACTGGAATGGAGACCATTTGTGCTACACTTTGGCCAAGTTGTCTACATTTTATTCATGTCCTAAGACATGACAGAGGCTGAGTTTAAAAGTGATGGATGGCTGGGCATGGTGGTGCATGCCTTTAATCCCAGCACTTGGGAGGCCTCCTTCTGCCTCCCCAGGGCTGAAATTAAAGGTGTGCAGCATCATCCTTGGCAGCATAGAACTCTAATTCCAGCTACGTAGGAGGCTGAGACAGGAGGATTCCAAGTTCAAGGTCTGCTTGGACAACTTTGTGAGGCCCTGTCTCAAAATAAGAAGAGGCAAAAAAAAGGAGGTTCTGGATAGAGCTCAGAGCACGTGCTTAGCATAAACAATGCTCTGGTTCAATCTTCAGCACTGTAAACATAAATATACAAAGTAAACAAACAAAAAAAATGAAAAACTGTCACTCTGCAAGCACAGTGCCAGGAATAAATTGTTTTTTCAGGATTTCTTCTATCATGCTCAACCATCCAGGGACCCACAAGTCACTGGAGCTAGTCCAGAGTTCCACTCTTGCTCAATCTTGCCATACACCCTGGCACGGTCCATGTGAAACACTTTGTAGGCATGTAGATGCACGAGGTATTGGTCATGGAGGCTTCTACCAAGATCTTGCAGGCAGGCCTGGAAACCAGACACTGTAGCAGGGTCAGGGTTTCTGCAGTCAGCCTCTGAGCAGGTGGTAAGTGGAATGGACAGTTTAGACTCCAGGATGGTGGAGATGTCAGGAATGTGAAGTGTCTGCTAAGAGAGCCACAAACACCAACCGAAATAGCCCAAGACAGAGGCCATGGAGGCAACAAACACCAAGGTCACAAAATGGGGCGTGGGGCCTGTCCAAGCCCATATAATGACACTATGTGCCCTGGATGCCAGACATGGATCTATAGGATTTAGTGTTTGCCTTGATGGATTTCAATCTTGTTTTGATCGTTCCTTGCTATTCTCCTATTAGGAATGTAAACATTTACTCTGTGTGTCTCCTATCTCAGAAGTATATTTGATTTTTTTTTTTTTTTCTTTTGAGACAGGGTCTCCCTGTAGTCCCAGCTGTCCTGGAACTCACTATGTAGACTAGGCTGGTCTTGAAGTATATTTGGTTTTATAAGGATCACAGCTTAGAGTTTGTCTTGAGTCTCAGAAAAGACTTTGGACTTGGATGTGTGCACAAGTTGTAACTGTTAAGGATTCATATACTAAACTTGGCCCCTAGGTGGGATGTGGTGGAACCTTAGGAAGAGTGTAGAGCTGGAGGAAGGAGGTCACTGGGGGCACGTCTCTGGAGACAATCCCTGGTCCCTGTTCTCCTCTTTCCGCTTCCATGGCTGCCATGATGAGATCTACTTCTGCTCTCCTACACACTCCCTGCCATGATGGACTAAGAAAGAGAAACCCTTCCTCCTTTAAGTTATTCCATGTCAGGTATTTTATGAAAGCAATGAAAAACTAATACAATACCTGACCCACAGGTGGTATTATGTAAATGTTTGTTCATGGACAGCATGAATTCTGGCTAAGGCAAAAATAAACACATGAATTAAGCTTGTTTTAACTTCAGTAGTTGCTGCTGGATGCACTTCCCCATTCCCGCCCCAAATTTCTAAGAGAGGCAAAGAAGAATAAAATCTGCAGAAAGGAGAAACGCTTCCCTCGTGGCTGCTCCTATGTTAAACTCAACTTCAATCTCAGAAAGTGGTTCACTGATCAGTCCCTATGCAAAAGACCCGCATTTCCTGCTTCTCTTTAGAATGGAGCTGCTATGGTACTTAAAAACGAGACGCAGATCCTCAACTATTTATGGCTTCACAGATACAGAGCTGCTGTCCTTTTCTAAAACTCCTTACAGTGGCTTTTAAGGAAACTTCAAATTTCAGTTTACAAAATTATGGAAGTAGAAACTTGAAAAAAGAGAAATTCTACTTTAGACAGAACTCAGTAGTAATAACACGAGATGTTCCTACTTAAAACACCTATTTTAACAGGGAATTTACAAGAAGTTCACCTCTATTTAGTAATGAGCTCACCTTCCATTGAGTTGGATTCTATCAGCTAATCTGGAAAACTGGTCTGGAAGTCTTCTCTGCTTTATGACGCCCTCAGGAGTCACAGAAACTTCACAGAGAGAGTATGTGTCCGATGCACCCGTCAAACCAAATTCCTGAGCAGCATGGCAAACGACTTCTTTAGCTGTAGAGTCTTTACTGATGATAATGTAGCAACTTTGTTGATCTGCTTTGAAAACTCTTATAACTTGATCAGGAATATCTATACAAATACAAAGATGTACCTTAGTATTCTTTTGTTTTGTTTTTTTGAGACAGGATCTCCTTGTAGCCCCAGCTGGCCTGGAACTCACTGTGTAGACCAGGCTGGCCTTGAACTCAAGAGATCTGCCTCCTGAGTGCTGGGATCAAAGGCGTGCGCCACTATGCCTGGCATGCCTTAGTATTCTTTAAAAGCAGCATTTAAATTCAAAAGCAATTTGGAGTAAAAAGTTTCCCTCTCAACATTGTACTATATATTTCTATTTTATACAGGATGACAGAATTGTACCCATTTTCTTCAGATGATAAAATACTAATAAAAGCTCACAAAGATATAAAATTTGGAATACAATTTACAAAACACATTTTCTATTTAACATATTAAAACATTCTGATGTTATTCTTTCTCTATAAAGCTATTCATTTTTTAATAATAAAGGATAGTACTCCAAAAGTAATTTTTGGTCATTTTGAGACAGGGTCTCCCTGTAGCCCCAGCTGGCCTGGAACTCACTATGTAGACCACCATGCCTATATATTTTATAGCGAAATCTTTTATCTTTTTAGGGAATGTGATTAACTCCTCAATGACAACCCTTAAAAACAGAGTGAGAAGGCTGGGCATGGTGGCGCTCGCCTGTAGTCCCAGCACTTGGGGAGGCAGAGGCAGGCAGATTTCTGAGTTCAAGGCTAGCCTGGTCTACACAGTGAGTTCCAGGACAGCTGGGGCTACAGGGAGACCCTGTCTCAAAAAGACAAAAAAAAAAAAAAAAAGAGTGAGAAGATTTGAAACACATCATTGCCACATCATTCCCCAGGGATCGTATTTTACACAACCCTAGACTATGAGTGCAAATTTGGTCATGTTCTTACTAAAAATGTTTATCACAACCTGCTTTGCTGTGCTGCCTGTTTTCAAAGATCATCTTTGTCCCCAATACTTCTATCCCCAATACTTCTGGAAACCATCTATTTCTTCCTGTTGAATCACACTAGACACCAACACTATAAACTGGCAAACATTTTTCTAGCTTTTATTTTTACTTTTTTGTCCTTGAGACAGGGTCTCCCTGTAGCCCCAGCTGGCCTGGAACTTGCTATGTAGAGCAGGCTGGCCTTGAACCCAGAGAGATCCACCTGCCTCTGCCTCCCTAGTACTGGAACTAGATGGTAGCTGGCACTATCATGCTCAGCCTAATTTTAATTTAAAAAAAAATTCTCTTTGTGTTTATGTTTAGGTGTTCATGTGTGACCATGCACATGGAGGCCAGAAGTTTATGCTACGTGTCTTCCTCCTTCCTCCTTCATCATATTTTTTTGAGACAGGGTGTCTCACTGAACCTGGGGCTCCCTACCTGTCTAGATGGTTGACCAATGAGAGCCCAGTGATCACTGTCTCTGTCTCCTCAGTCCTGGAGTGATGGGTGTGCAATGCAGCACCCATTTTTGTTTTTGTTCCCTGAGTGCGAGGGATTGAACGCAGGTCTTCCTGCCTGCTCAGCAAGTACTGAGCTTTATATTTATCTTATTACTTCACATCAAACATTTAAATGTCCATAAGGCTAAACACCTCAATCTGTGTTGTGATTTCTGTCACCAGTAGATACATCTTATTTAACATAATGTTCACATGATATCCATGTGTAAGTTGGCGATCTTCCTCCTCCTGCTTGTTTTTCTTTTCATAGACGACTAGCTTATACTGCCAGAACAATGTTTGCTGTGCTGACACTGTAAATGAAAAGTAGTATGAAAACATAAATGTTAAATTTTCCCTATGAAAATAAATTATTGTTGGAAAATGTTCATTTAAAAATAGTATTTAATTATTATTGTAGATTGTGATGACAGCAATAGGGATAGGTTGTAGAGACTTTGCTGGCTCAAGAAATTTTATTATGCTTATTCAGCATCACCAGTTTAAGCACTGTATGCGTTATGAGTTTTAGAGGAAAAATTACAAGATTGTTCCAAAAGAGAAGATGAGAGTACTGGAGCAGACAGGGAAGGAAGCAATCACAGAAGAAAATAGCCCTGTAGCCAAAAGAACCCGGCCGGGTTCAACTGAGTAAACAGTTCCAAGGGGATACAATGCTAAAGGGAAAGGTCTTCCCATCAGATGCTGGACGCTCTGGGTCTACAGTGACATTGGAAACAGAATTCTTCATGGATACAGCTTCTGTTCTAAGAAGGATGTACCAAACCATCTTTCCTTGATGTATTCAAAGATTCAAATCATCAGTACTTCTTGCTCTGATTTCTTGTCAAGGAGTAAACCTCTATGGTGCTACTAATAGCATCGTCTGAATTTACAAAGTTACTCTAGATCAGATTTGCTGTTCTGCTTGGTGCAAGAAAAGCACTATAAGCCAACAGAAAGTCTGGTTTGTCAGGAGAAAGAGAACCAAAAGGGTTTCACTATTTCTTTTAACTCTTTTTAAAAAACATTTTACTTATTATTATGTGTCGTAGCGTATACCTGCATGTGTGTAAGTTCACCTGAGTCATGCAATGCCTGCAGAAGTCAGAAGGGGGTGTTGGAGTCCCTGGAGCTAGAGTTATAGGCAGTTGTTAGCCACCACACACTGTGGGTGCTGGGAATTGAACCTGGGTCCTCTGCAAGAACAGCTAGTACCCTTGACTGCTGAGCATCTCTCCAGTCCCCCACCTTAGTATTTTTAAAAGCATGTTTAGATATGTTTTGAGAATCTGCATAGTGTATATGTAATAAAATGCATTAATGTTGAGCTGGGCACTTTTGACCACTTGCTATCTGAAACCCTGCATGCCACCTTTAGAGTCATGACAAGGAAGGAGGGCTCACAGTGGTACCCCAGAAAGGAGTCTTGGTATGTCCTAGTTAGGAGAGCAAGGAGTCTGTGTGTTTAATCACCGTCAAGTATGGGGGAATCTGTTACAACCTGTCACCAACTCTTTCATTCTATGTCTCAGGAACCCTCTCCAACACAGTCTCACAGGAGAAGACCTGAACAATTGTGCCATAAAGTTATGGAGG